AATAATTTTTGAAGTTACTGTGAAGAAATTATTCACTTATTGGGCATTTAATATTGTTTTAATCCTTTCTGAGCATTCATTTTAATTACGAATTCCGATGGGGAGGAAAACCAGGAAGGGGGTAGGAAATGTCTAGTGGTGATTTTTAAAGCACTGAAATTTGGTTTTCTCGTCTGACAGTCTTTTCCCGTGGTGCATCCGTATATGTCTTTTCGTTTCTTTGCCCGGTAAAATGTAATGATAATTACTCAGTATAAATGCTCTGAATATATTTGGTCCAAGCAAGCAAAGTTTTTTTGGTCTTATTCTATTTTGAGGCGCGGCAACGTCCAAATCCAAATGAAATACATTTTATATTAGACAAGAAAAAATGTTGGCACGTGGTAAATAGAGTGAGCATACAGCTGAATTTACTTTTATCTACTACCTCAAGAAGCAGGGACGTTTCTTTTTAGGGGCTGCATGACTAATTTTCTATTTCTTTTTCTCGGCGAAGTTGTAGGTTAATCCTTTGTTCTGTGGCCTGCACAGATGACAAACTGAGATGATCAAAAGAAAGGCTTAGACCCCTGCGCGCATAGATCAACACTTTTCGCAAATGTATGCTTGAAACTGAAGTGGAATTAATGCGCTGGTCCGTCGAATTATCTCTCGGTGCTACTGGCGAATGCATGAGCGAATACTCATCCGTATTATAATAAAAGTGCCTCGTTTTTAACTCTCTGTACCTAGTATTTACAAGAAGTGCCACTTAGATGAATGCTCTTCTAAAGTTTTTTGGTTGGACTGATTCAAATCTAATTGTTTTTATGCTGCATTGGAAGTGAAAAAAATCTCAATGAGCGAAAGGCTGCATAAAAAGGTTTGGGTGGGAAAGAAGAAGGCTGAAGAATGAATGCGCTTTGGCTTGTTGCACCAGAATGATACTTTTGCAGAAAAATACTCATAAAGTACAGTTTGGTCGTAGAATTTGAATATCAGTAATTCTTTTGGTAATACTCCGTTTACTTCTGATAGTTTTTCGAATTTCGGGGAATTGGCGGTAATACTCACAATTTGAACTTTGCTTCTGCTTTAGTTTTGTCTGGTGCAACAGATGGCACTTTTATAATCCGAACCCATAAATTAAATCACATGAGATCATCGGCAGC